CTGGGTAGCATTTCTGTCAGCTGCTTTGTCTCAGCATGGCCTGTAATGGTGAAAGTATTCGCTGCCAGAGATGCCTGAACTTTAGGGTTGTTAAAGTGGATCACTGTTCCCTGGTTTGTAAACATATTCACCTCTTCAATACCAGAGATATTGTTTTTTGGTTTTTTTTTTTTGAGAGGTTTTTTTGCTATAGGGCGCATGCACTCACCAGACAGACAGAGAGAGACAGAGAGACAGAAAGTGAGAAATCACCCCCCAGGGGGGATGGTCACGCTGCAATCACTTCTCCTCCATTCTTCTCTGGGGATCTTGGGCACGCATGCACACGCGCCTGGCGTGAGTTTTAAGCCACTGGGTCCGGGACGTGAACCACGGTCAACTACGTGGGAGTCCAGTGACATAGCCATTATGCTAACTGCTGGTTCCCCCTCCCCCCTTTTTTTTGGAGAACCAGAGATATTGTTTATCCCTAACTTCTTTAAGGAGAACTGAAGTTTCTTATCATCTGCTGTAGCTGTTCTATGAACCACCTTCTTTCTGTGAGCAGTTCCTTTCCCACCAATGCACACTTGTGCCTGCAGCTGGGCGAGCTTTTCCTGGTTCATGATAGTTTCTTTCATCTTGTCGGAGCAGAAAAGGGGCCATGTGGGGGACTAGGGTTGGTGCTCAGGAGGTCTCAGGCAGACCAGCTGAGATTAGGCACACACACGTGGGGACACAAGATCTCTAATCAACTTTTAATACTTTCAAGAGAGTTTTAGATTTCCTCTATTCCAGACTTCATCTCTAATAGTTCAATCTGATTGTTTCTTAGAATGTTCATTTCTTATTTCATATCGTGGAAGGACTTCACAATCTCCTGTAGTTCATTGTCTCTGTTCTGTTCCAACTTTTAGAATTTGGTCACCATGAATGTTCTAAATTATTTCTCTAATATTTGGTAACTTCCTCTTTTCTTTTTTTCTCTTTTTTTAATGGTGGGCTCTGTTCTTTTGATAGAGACGTATTTCCTGTTTTATTCAGACCTGAGGCTCTTCCACTTCTAGCTATGGGAAAATGAGTCAGTTTTGAATACCTCTTAGGAGAACGTTTCTTTGACTTGGAGCAAGTGTGTTTCTCTTTTGCTGTAACTGATGTGTGCTGAAGTCTCTTTTCTGTTGTTTTTAGCAATGTGGTCTGAATAAGAGGACTCTATTCAGGTGTCTGAAGAGCAGTATTTCTTTTTTCACAGGTGGCTCAGTACAAGGGAGGATCCCAGGAAACCTTACAATACTAGGGAATTTCAGAACTGTGATTCTTGACTTGTGTAGTCCTGGCTGGGTGGAGAATGAAGAGTATAGGATAATATAGGAGGGAAGAAGAGTACAGAGGAGAATAAAGAAAAAGTTGTCAGGGCCCTGGAGATGGATCCAGAGCTCTGCTGCAGAGCAAATGCCAGTCTGTGGGGCAAGGAAGAGTAGGGAATTAACAAAAGAAAAGACGAGCAAAGAAGAAAAAAGCCCTGCCTACCTTTTTATGGGGGGGAGGGTCCTGGGCTTGAGAGCGTTGGAAGTGGGGTTGGGGGGCAGTGGTGCCCTTGCTTTAATGTCCCTTGTCAACTGGAAGCTTGGAGATGGAACTGAAGCTGTGCTGCAAAGCAAAGTCCAGTGTTTCTCGTGTGTGTGTGTGTGTGTGTGTCCTGGGCTTGGGAGGGCTGGAAGTAGGGTGGAGGGCAGTGGCTCCCCTGTCTCAACATCCCTTGATGTGAGCATGAAATTTCTTCTGGTACTTGAGGCTACACCTCATAATTCACATTTGGAAGAAGATCCAGGGGCGTGACCACAGTTAGTAGGGCTGCCCAAAGTGAGTAGCTGTGAAGGTAAAAGGGATGATTTGCAGGCCTGTGGCCAAGATGAGAGTTGAGACAAGAGTAGCTGCAGTCCCACTGTTGTACCTGTAGTCTTGTTTCATTGGTACAGCTCATATCAACTGGGTGAAGTATTATATACCAAGTGGGCACCAGGCTGAGACCTAAGCTGGGTGCAAATTCAATTGGAATTTAGGAAAGATGTGCATGTGGAAAGGAAGTTTACACTGATTTTAAACAAAACTAAAACATGAATATAATAAAAATGATTTACTCTGCAATACATTAAAACTACCATTTTAGACATTATTACATTTAAGCACAAACATATATACAAGTTGTCCAATGCAATTAAAAAGGTAAGATCATGTAAATTCAGTCAAATTAGAACTAAGTTACAAATAGAAGCAATTCATAACATAGTGAAAACTAAACAAAGGAAAATACAGTGATCTCATACCATCACCACTCCCTAAATGAAAGGATAGGCATGCAGCATTATGGCTGCCACATGAAGCCCCTTTGATAATGTGGGGAAAGAATGTTGAGGAAGCAAAAATTTCAGCCATTTCAAATAATGTAGCACATGATGATGGTGTTTTAAAAGTTTGCTACATTAATGATGTAGACTAATTTCAGCATTGAGATATTGCTGCCTGATGAAGTGGTCCCCAAAATTGTTGCCTTTTTGTTTCTATGATTTCTCAATAAATTGGCTTGAAAATAAAAGCCTCCTATGTAAATTTTCTGAACAAAAAGGACCAAAAATGTTAAAACTAGTTATTTTGGGCTGTTTGTACTTTAATGCAAACAGATCATATAGAGGAGGAGGGATATGGAGGCAGAGCATTGACGGGATGGGGAGGTGTGGTGTTATCAGTTGAAGATATTTCGATCAACTGGACTGGGGAGAAATGTTCACATATTGAAATGTTCACTTTGTAAGCTAAATAATGTGATTGAATGTATATAAAAAATTTAAAAAGAAAAAAAGAAAATGGCTCAAAAGAGTAGTTATTTACTTTTCACTCTTGTAAAATCACAAGAAAAAAATTTTAGAGTAAAGGTAGAACAATCTCTGCTTTCTCCAATCAATTTCTTCTAAGTCATGGTGACTTCCCACTTACAGCTCCCAAGGCCTCTATAGGGTAAAAAGATCACCTGCATTTCAATCCCAGAGGGAATGAGAAATAAGAAAGTACTCCATAGACATTTTTGGTTGCCAGGCCTGGAATTAGTTAGCCCTTGTATCCAGTTTGCTCCAGAAAAGGTTCAGTTACATGGTCTCTCCCACAATAAAAGGAGACTAAGAAATTCAGGCGCACATGCCTCAGAATATGTAATAGAATGGTTTTGGAAAATAAAACATTTTTGTCATACACGATTATTTCCCTGTATGAATTCTGTAATGTTTGTTAAGATTTGACTTATGACAATAGGTTTTACTACATTCATTGCACTTATATGGTTTCTCTCCTGTGTGAGTTCTGTGATGCTCAGTGAGGTATGACTTTTGGCTAAAAGATTTTCCACATTCTTTACATTCATATGGTTTCTCTCCCGTGTGAGTTCTCTGATGTACAGTAAGGTGTGACTTCCGGTAGTAAGATTTCCTACATTCTTTACATTCATAGGGTTTTTCTCCTGTGTGAGTTCTTTGATGTTCAATGAGGTGTGGCTTCTCATAGAAAGATTTTGTACATTCCTTACATTCATATGGCTTCTCACCTGTGTGAGTTCTTTGATGTACAGTGAGATTTGACTTTCGGTAGAAAGATTTCTTACATTCTTTACATTCATAGGGTTTTTCCCCTGTGTGAGTTTTCTGATGATCAGTGAGGTGTGACCTCCGGTGAAAAAATTTCCCACATTCTTTACACTGATAGGGCTTCTCACCTGTGTGAGTCTTCTCATGTACAGTTAGATTTGACTTTTGGTGAAAAGATTTTCCACATTCCTTGCATACATAAGGCTTCTCTCCTGTGTGAGTTCTCTGGTGCACGGTGAGTTTTGATTTCTGGGAAAAGGCTTTACCACATTCAGTACATTGATAGAATTTTTCTCTTATGTAGGTTCTCTGATGACTCAATAGGTTTGACTTCTGAGGAAATAATTTTTCACATTTATTACCTGCAGGGGGCTTTTCACCTGTGTATGTTCTCTGAGCAACTGTAAAAATCGATTTTTGAAAGAATTCCTCACATTTGCTACATTTATGGTGTTTCTCTTCTGTGTTTATTTTCTGATGTTTGGTTGAGTTAGAAGTTTCACAAAAAGATTCTGTCCCTATCTGAGTTGTGTCTTGAGCAATGAGGGGTGACTTAATGTGGGCTTTACCATATACATTATTATTAGAAGTGGTCTCTGTCATATGAATCCTCTTAGGTGTCCATAATACTGATTCCATAATGAAGGCATTCTCTTGTCCGCTATATTCAAAATGCTGCTTCCTAGTCTGAGTCATGTGATGCAAATTATGACCATGATTTCTGAGGCATTTTCCAGTTATTGAAGAGGCATCAGGTTTTTCACCAGCATACATCTCATCAGAATCACTACAGAGAAGAGTTTTTTCACATATATTAAACTCTTCAGGAATAATTAGTTTTGAAATATGGTCAGATTTCAAATTAACTGTATTTCTTAATTCAGTTGTCTTGTTTGTTGACATGTTAATGTTGGTGATTACAACTTGATGCAAACATCTGCCTTGATTTTGTTGGCTTCTTTCAATCTGTTCATCTACTTTCTGGACATCTAAAATGAGATGAAATGAAAAATAGACAACTATATCTATGAGTGACATCTAAACATTTCTTAAAGAAAGCTAATGTAAAGGGAAAAAAATTATCCTGGTGGCTATAGGTTTTTAAAATATCAATTAGCATTGATTTACAATACATTTTTCCCTTAATAAATGATCATAGCAAGTTACATTAATAGATTTTCTCATATTAAATATTTTCTATTTGGGACCAGCAGATGGCATAATGGTTAAGTCACTGGACACCCAGATTGTCAACATGGAGGAGAAGAAATTGCATTACCTGGGGGTGGGTGATTTCTCACTTTCTGTCTGTCTCTCTGGTGAGCACATGTGCCCTATAGCAAAATCTTCTCTAAAAATAAGTAAATAAATAAATACTTTAAAAATATTCACTAGAGGGTACATGAACTAGACAGAGAGAGGGAGAAAGCATTCCTCAATGGGGGCACAGTCACACTTCAATCCATTCCTCATCCTATCAGGTTTTGTGCACACCTGTACATGTGTCCAATATGTTATTCAAGCCACTATAGCCAGGGTTTGAATCATGGTCAACTATGTGGAATCCAGTTCCCTGAACCACTAGGCTATAGGTTCACACTTAAATGTTTTACTTTGCCTAAGTTTATTCTTTATACTACTTAAGGAAATATTTAAATCAAAATATTCATCTACTATGTTGCCATAGCCTTAAGCTGTTTTTCACCTGCCATTTTTTCCTGTCCTATTTCTTTGTTATAATAACTTTGAGTATGTTGTGCTACTTTTTTGCTGATTCTTTGCCTTTGATGATGATAAGATTTTCTAGGATTAATCCACTTCAAGGATGTATAATAGGCTCTGTCATGTAAGGAGAAACATTGCTCAAAAAGTATTTGTATCTATGGTAAATAATAATCTAAAACTACCTTCCCCCTTTCCTGTTAGAATCCTCCTAAAATAATGCACCCATTTTTTCAAACTTATCCAAGAAAAATGTGATTTGTGTTTCTTATCTCACAACTACATATGTTTATTTTTCTTTCTCAGTAAGTTAATTTCTTTAAAACAAGGTACCTGACAAGGATGCACTGACTAACCTGGGAGACTGGGTTGGAAGTTCTTTACAATCCATGACTCTGCTCCTTGATCCAATATATAAAGATTACCTCAGGTTTGGCATGCATCATTTAATGTAGGCATGTTTGTGCATATGTATATAAGTCAGAGGGTGAGTGTGAGAAACACTGAGAGAGGGAACAGACTCTCCCTCACCCTTAATGTAGCCTGGCCATATTGAAATACTTTCTCCTCCAATTCTCTATCCCATTAGGACCCAGGACATATGTGTGCATGCTCCTGGCATGTTTTTCAAGTCAATGGACTCAGAATTTGAACCCTTGTCAGTCATAGGGAATCTGGTTGCTGCTGTTCTATGGCAGCAATGCCTTTTAATGGGAAATGATTTAGAATTTTGTCAAAATGCTTATTCAAGTCTTTTGAAGAATGACAATAGTCTGCATCATCAGCTGTGCAATGAAGGGGCCAATTTGAACCTTTTTTTAGAGGACATATTCTTCACTGAATGGAATCTTCCATCTAAATAGCATTATCCTACATCTAACTAGCATTAAACATTATAAAACTGTTGTATATAACTAACAAAGAGTAACAATTAATTCCTGGTATTTATTGAACAGTTTTACTCACACAAGGACACCAGGATGCTGTAGGTTTCCAGCATCACATCCCTGTATAGGGTCTTTTGAGCGTCATTCAGGTCTTGCCACTCTTCCCAGGTGAAGACCACTGCCACATCCTCAAATGACACCAATCCCTGTAACAATACATTTCTCTTCAAGTTATCAGCCCTGGCAATAACAGAAATCTGGAAGTTTACTCTCCTGTGTATCTGTGTCTATTCTCTTTCAGTTTTGCCTAAGATGCAGCTTGTTTTGTACTCTGTATAAGGGATTACACAAAAATCACAGTAGAAACATCCTACCCTGTATTTATTAATTACTAAAAATACTATCATAGGTCTTCCCTTCAGAACTGAAAATGTCCTGGCTATTAAGGATGCAGGCATACTTTAAATTTTGCTCCTCCAAGTCACTTTTGATCTGATATAAAAATCTAAGTATAGGAACCAGCAGTTGGCACAATGGCAATGTCGCTGGACTTCCATGTAGCTGACCGCAGTTTGAGTCCCAGACTCAGTGGCTTAAACTCACGTTGGGCGTGTATGTGTGCATGCCTAAGATCCTGAGAGGAGAATGGAGGAGAAGGGATTGTGGCATGGCCATCCCCCCCTGGGGGGTGATTTCTCACGTTCTGCCTCTCTCTGTCTTTCAGGTGAGTGCACGTGCCCTATAGCAAAAATAAATAAAAAAATAAATAAAACCTCTTAAAAAATAAGTATAAATATATACTTAGAATAATGTGTTAAATGAAGTAACTTAGATATAAATTGTGGTAGGTCCACACTTTATGGCAGAAATGGAAAGACTGGAAGACATAAAAGCATGGAGAACAACTGTGTATACTAGAGACAGTATCCACACTAGGAGGGTGGGAAATGGGAGAGGGTGAGAGAAAGGGAATCAAGGGAAAAAGCAAAACATTTAAGGGACAAAGAAGTGGAAATTTATCTGTTGATTATAATGGCTATGATAATACCTTTAACTGGACAAATACACAGCATATTCATTAGGAAAATTCATTTTACAAATTGTAATGATATAAAGTGACTGAATGTGTAATAAATAAATAAATAACAAAAAATTGTGGTAGACAGGGATAATAGAAAAGTAAAAAGAAAGTGTTTCTGTTTTTTGCATTATATGGTTATACTTCACTGAAAAACCAAAGACATTTAGATAGTCTACATGAACGTGTTATAATAAAAATAAAGCAACAGAAGTCATCATAGAACACACACAGCATTAATAGAAATAAAACCACATCAAGGCGAGTGTTCCAGGGCTGTGATGAGATAAAGGCAATAAAGGAGTTCAAGTAATGGATTATCAAAATAATTCTGCTTTTATGCACTAGATCCAATTTCAAGTAAAAATTTCAAACGTGTTAACTTTTAAATAAATTATGTATAAAGCATGTTGACAGTATCCTTATGTTTCTCTCATATGTAAAAGGAATTGATGTGTACATCAAAGTGAACATCACCCAATTCCTAAAACACAGGGAATAAATAAGGGGCCAAGAAAAGTGGAAGCTATTTCAGAGTCACATTTTAACAGTCATTTCCTTAATGGAGAATAAGGAAAGGTTTAAGGCAGAGTCTGAGGGGAAAAACCAGGTTGAGACATGACCATTTATTTCAAGACATAGTCCAATAAAAATACAGAACATGAAATTCAATCTAAGTAGAAAATAAACAAAAATGACAACAAAAGAAACAGACTTTGAAAAAAAATTTCATGTGGAAAATTAAACAAGAGTGGACAGTATGTGGTAGGTTGTATTTTTTTTTTCATCCAAACCCAGTGTCAGTCATCCCTCTGTTGGTCATCTTGACCTGTGTTATAAAAAATACCAAATACCAAGTGACTTAAACAACAAACTCTGATTTTCACAGCTTTGGAGCCTGGAAAAGCCAATTGGTGCCAGGCAATTTAGTTCCTTGGGAGGTCTCTCTTCCTGGTTTACAGAGGACATCCTTCTTTATGTATCCCATGCACAATGGAAGAGAAGGAAGGAAAACAAAGAGAGAGAGAGAAAAATATATATCTTTTAAAGGACAACCCCCATTTATTTCTATCTGCTTTTGCCATGTACATGGACTCTCAGGTGCCCTTCCCCAGCCTGGGGGAGGGGTGGTAGGTTCTGGAGGAAAGAGACATCAGAATGAAGACATGATCTTTAATGGGAGGATCTGCTACCCTAGGGGGGGCATTCATGTGGGCGACAATTCATGCTGACCCCCTCCCCTCCAGGCCATCTGTGAATCCATAGGGGGTCCTTTTCTTTAACACCAGATCGCTCCTTCCTCGCCATGGACTAGCCATGAGCAGGAGACCAATCTCCTCTCTTCATTGTCTCAGTGTTTTCCCTCCTCTACCCATCCCTAAAATTCCCTTCTTGGGGTTAGAAAACACTAACACTCATAACCTCTCTCCTGAGGTTCCTGCAAAAGCCTCCTTCTAACTCAGATTCCTTACCACTGGTAATGCCAGTACCCTGAGGCCCTGGCTGCTGGCTGCATCTGAGGGCAGGACAGGAGGCGTGAGTGCTCATCTGTGAGGCATGGTGGTGGTGCCACTGTGGAAGATTGTGGGGAGCACAGGGCTGCTGGAGTATGCCTGAAAGTGGGGGCAGGAAGACCTAGGAAGCCAAGGACATGGGTTTATTTTTCGTAGAAATCCATGTGGGTCCCCGACTTGAACATGTCCTTCTGTAGTAAGCTCAGCAGTTTCTGGGCTGATAAACTGCAATCCACCAGCTCCCCCTTTGTCTTCAGCTCCTGTAGCCTTTTTTTCATGTTGGGGTCCACAGAGGTCTCCTGGGCCAACTGCTGCATGTCTGTGTCCAGGGGACGTGGTGTATAGCTGAGTACCCTCATGCTGGGCTCCTTTGTAGCCAGGACCTGGAACATCATGTCACGAGCAGCCTTACCCCCACAGTAGAGTCCAGCCTTTGAAGGGCTGCTGGGCACAGAGGGATGAGATGTTAACCACGGTCCTGCTGAGGACAGTCAGGGAAGGCCTTCAGGAGGCTGGAGGTCAGGCACTGCATGGAAATCAAGTTCAGAGCCCAGTGGTTGTTCACTTCTGCTGCATCAGGCAGGTCCATGAAGTCTTTGGACGCATCCTCAAGAGTGGCCACATTCTTGATGAGCAGCAGTCTCTGCAGCCCCTTGGGCCTGGGGAGCTCACGTAGGGTGCTGAACAGCTTCTGCAAGCCGGTCTGAGAGCCCAGGTCGGCGGGCACTCACACCATGCGCAGTGCACGCCAACCAGCACCGGGCTCAGACTCCAGCTGCTGCAGTGCCTCGTTGCTGCAGGCGGTTAGCACCAGCATGGAGCTGGGGGACAACAGTGGGGCCAGGAGCTGGGCCAGCACCTGGCCGAAGCCGCGGGCAGCCCGGGTCAGCACCCACAGGGCACGGTCCAGGCTGCCCTGCTGGCCGCTGCTTCACTCCATGCCACCCTGAAAAAAAATATTTTTTCCTCTTCTAAGGCCAGCAATTCTATTAAAAACAGACTTTGGTACTAGTTTCTTTTGCAATGGGTAAAAAGTGAAGATTAATTCCTGTCTATACATACGGCAAGGTAGATACTGGTACTATAAGTAAACTGAAACTGGAAAAAAGGACAAAAAACATAATAAGCCTAAGTGTAAGCAATCTTGGATATAGCATATTTGAAGGTTCTGAAATGAAATATTTAAGAAACAGAATTTCAGTAGAGCCGAAGCCATCATAATGAGTGAAATGTCTCACAAAGGATCTAACATATTGAAAGAAAAAACAGAACAAGTATGGAATCTGAGAAAACACTAATATTTATTCTTGAATAAAGATAAACTGACCATGATAAATGAGAATTAATTTTTAAAGATTCTAGGAACAATAAAAACCACATTATGAGATCTATTAATATATTTCATCATATTCATCACACTATGAAAAAAATCCTGTAATCATTTACATGGACATTCCAAAGATGTATTTTAAAATAGCCAATTTAAAATAAAGACCCTCCCCCCTAAAGAGGATCCAGGACATTGTTCCCTAACATGATAAAATGTATGTATTTTGGTCTAAAAAGTCGAAGCACAGTTAATAGAAAAACATCAGAGGATAAGGATTCTCCATCAGTACAATTACTTAGTACTTTATGAGGTACAGATTAAAAGAAGAAAAAAAATGATAAAGATCATTGGGCTAGCCTTATGATGCAATTGTTAAGTCCTGTGAATAAAGAGGTGACCAACTAGTTTGAATCTAGCACTAACGATTGAAAACCACTCTGGGCGTGTGTGTGTGTGTGTGTGTGTGTGTGTGTGTGTGTGTGTGTGTGTGTGTGTGTGTGTGTGTGTGTGTGTGTGTGTGTGTGTGTGTGTGTGTGTACCTAAACTGCTGATGGGATGCAGAAACAGGAAAAAAATTATTGTGGTGTGATCATCACCCCAAAAGCCTTCCCAGAACAGGGTCAAGACTAAGATTATTTCTTTTTGTAGCACTGTTGGACTTCATAGCAGAGAGAGGACATAATGGCCTATGTGTGATTCCTATAGCTTCTGCTTAGAAATGGCACATGTTGTTACCATTCCTATGTCATTAGTCAAAGAACAATGAATGGAAGATTGTTAATCTGCTGTGTGAGTTCCACTAAAAGGGAATATTCAGTCATGTTTACAAGTTAGGCACCATGTATGAATTGACTAATCTTATGTCTGAATTATGTCCCTCTAGAATTTGTGTGTTGAAGTCAAAACCTAGACCTAATCCCAAATATCAATGGACTGGGAGATAAGACTTCTAGAGGTAACTGCGGTTGAATGATGTCACAAGAGTAGGTTGCTAATCATATAGAATTGATGGCCTTAGAAGAGAAAAATCTCTCTCTCTCTCTGGTAATGCATGTACCTTTGGAAACTAAAAAGAAAAAAAAAAAGAAAAAGATCATGATTATAATATAACCCATACCTAAGAAACTCTAAGAGAATATCCTGAAAACTACTTCAAGTAGGAAGATTTAATAAGTTAATAGCTACTAAAGAAATACACATGTCCTCACATATATAAGAACATTCACATAATAACAAAACATGAAAAAATGTCCAGCAATACAATACAGAAAAAAGTATGAAGGG